GCAGGAGAGGAAGACCCTCAATGAGATGGATGGATTCTGTGACTGGAGTGGTGGGAATGAGTGTGTTTGAGACAGCGAGGTTGGCACAAGATAGAACGGAGTTTAGAGCTCTTGTACATAGGGTCGCTGTGAGTTGCAAGCGACTCGATGGCACATAACAACAACAGGCATGTATGAGAGTGAGTGAGTCAAAGGATCTCTGAAATGCAGCTCTGCCAGGGAGCAGCAAGACAGTACTGGAGGTTAATGGAGGAATCCTGGTCGTATGGTGGTCACATCATCAGGCTGCTCACCAGAATGTCGGTGGTTCAAAGCTACCCCGCACTCCACGGGAGAAAGGTGTGGCAGCCCACTTCATAAACATTTACTGACTCCAGAGCCCAGGGGCCAGGGCTATTCGGTCCCACGGGGTCACTAAGTGAATCACATTAACTTTGTTGTTGTTCTTAACTCATTGCTGTTGAGTCAGAGCCAACTTGTAGCTGACCGCAGTTTTCAAGGCTGTAAGTCACACAGGAGATTGGCCATCTTTCTCCCTTGTAGCCCCTGGTGCATTCAAATGGGCAGGGAGGTGTGGGCTTTGGGGAAGCAGCTCAGCTCCTTATAGACCCCGTTGTCCTCAGGTGCTGAGTCGGGTGTGACTCAGAGACCCTATGAACAAGAGATCTGAACCCTGCTCTATCTTGTGCCATCATCATCATCCCTGAAACACTCAAGCTCATTGCTGCAGTCACGGCATCAATCCGTCTCACCGGGGGTCTTCCTCTCCCCTTTGCTGTCCCTCCACCTTTCTAAACATAATGTCCCTGTCCAAGGACTAGCCTCTCCTAGCAGACCGTTCAAAGGCAAAGCTTCACCCTCCTTGCCAATATGGAGCATTCTGGCTGCACTTTTCTCTAAGCATTTTGTTTTGGCAGTCCATGGGAGAGTCATTATTCTTCTCCAACATCACAGCTCAAAGGCATCAATTCTTCTGTCATCCTTTTTTTTAAATTTTTCTTTTTGTGTGTGTGTACCATCAAATCAGATCTGACTGGTACAGAAGAGACTGCCCCTCCTTCTCCAGCAGAGCATCTGATGGATTTGAACTGTGAACCACTGGGATTGCAGTGCAGCTTCTTGTCTCTAGGCCACCAGAGCTCCCCTCTTTTGTCATCCTTACTCACCGTCTACCTCGTAGGAGCACAGCAAGTGACTGAAAGGACCATGACCTGAATCAGGCACACCTTAGTCCTCAAGCTCACATCATTGCTCCTCAGCACTTTGGTCCATGTTAGATGCTATCAAATCAGTTCTGAATCAATGATACCACGTTGCAGAGCAGAAATGCCCATAGGCAGTTGTAATTTTTTTTTTTGGTTGTAATCTTTTTCAGAATCCTGAAAAGCAGCTGAGTACGTTCTGTCAGTCAGTCCTTTGGTAAGCAACTTCACAGCTCCACCTCCAGGACTCCTTTAGAAGCAGGGATGATGTGGCACATTTGGGGGGGGGGGCAGGGGCAGTCCTAAGAGGAGGGCAGCATGTCTGGAAAGCAGAGGGTCAGCACATAAGGCGGATGAACTGACCATGGGGCTGCAGCCACGGGGTCAGCCAGCGGAATGGGGACGGAGCAGGACCAGGCAGGGCTGCATTTTTTAGCACATGCAGTTGCTGTGTCTCAGCCAATCCACCAAACAATAATTTAAAGGGTTTTCTGTTCACTGCTACAGAGAAACATCTGAATGACAAAAGTAACCCAGAAGATAAAATGTACGGTGTTGGCCACCGATGGTTAAGGACCTCAAGTTTACATTAACACCGAAAATTGATTACTCAAGTTCTTTTAGTAGTCATGGTTTGGGCACAGTTAAGTTCCTCATCCATACTATAGGCAACCCAAATGCCACGTCCTCAGCCACTACCTAAGTCTCGGCCCTGACCCGCCACATTCCCTCATTGTCAGTCGATTCCAACTGTGGCAGCTTCTGACAGGCTTGAGGCTACACCTTTCTCCCACGGAGCCCCAGGCAGTGGGTTGGAGCTGGAGACACCAGCCAGCCCTTGGGAGAGCGGTGCAACTCATTACAGACTCCTCCTCAGTCATCGGGGTCCCGAGCCCACCCTACACAGCACCTTGATTCCAAGACAACAATTTCTGGATGCTAAGTCAGACTTCTTCCAAACAGATGTTCTTTCTCCTCCTTCCCTAATAATGTGTCCAATTCCTACTTAAAGGTCACAACACTTAAGTGTAAGACCAAGAGAAAAACAAAAGGTGCACCAAATGCAGCAGAGATGCACGCTTTTGGCTTTTCACTTCAGAAATGAAACTTAAATATTTATCTTGATACCAAAGCAAAACTACAGAAAAAGAGGATTCCCTCGTGTTTCAAGTCATGACCGGACGTGAGTGCTATCAGGCAAAGGCCTGATGCCACTGTCATCATTGCACACTTGTCTTTCTTCACTGGTCATCTCACGTGATCATTGCTCACAGGCGCAGAAGCCTCAATGATCCGGACTAAGGACAAAACCACCTCATTTGCGTTAATATCCCACCGAGTCCCTGGCCCACAGGGAGCTATGAGGCTAACTCAAAGTCCATGCCTTCCTGGTGGCCGGAATCCACCAGCTGACCCACAGGAGAAAGATGGGCAATATCCAGTTCAATTCACAGCCTCAGATACCCGATGGACGGTCAGCTACGAGTTGGTTCTGACTGGAGGGCAGTGTGAGCATTCTAACTGCTGGACGCTTGTCCAACTCTATTCCTGCAGATCGCATGGCCCCTCCTGCTTCTTAATCAGCGGCCCAACACAGGGACACCCTCTTCCCAACCTTAACAGCCACCATGCTCTCCCAGCACTTCTAACACTAATATTCCCACAAAGCAGTTGTTCAAAACGTAAAAGGGACCAGTGCAAAGGTCATGTGTTTCTGTTTTCTACCCAACACAGGCATCTGTGGTGCTGAAGAAGAGTACTGAATATGCCATGGATTGCGAGAACAGATTCATCCTAGAAAAGGGTAAGAGGCTGCTCCTTGAAGCCAAGGATTCTGAAGCTCTGTCTGACATACTTTGGACATGTTTCAAGGAGGGACCAGTCCTTGGAGAGGGACAGCATGCTTCGGAAAGTGGAGGGACAGCGCAGGAGAGGAAGACCCTTGATGAGATGGATTGACTCAGTGACTGGGGTAATGGGGGGAGGTGTGTCAGAGACAATAAGATTGGCACAGGATAGAGCAGGGTTAAGGGCTGTTGTACATAGGGTCACTATGAGTTGCAGGCAACTTGATGGCACATAAAAACAACAACAACAACTCAATACAGAGATTTAGTAACATAAATAGTCTTTAAATCTATGCAAATTATAATGGCTTTTATACTGTAGCAGTTGTCACACACGTAAAGAAAAAACACACACAAATGAAACTCAAATTGGGTTGGAGACCTGCAGGATCGAAGAACCACAGGAGAGCCAAGGCAGAGCTCATGAGGGGTGAGCAGCAGGGGTCAGAATCAGCAGGGAGGGCTTCACTGTGGGCGTAAGGCCTTGGAAGACACGCACGATGTGGACGGGTGACGGCGGCATTCCAGAGGCGGGCAGCAGCATGAACAAAGGGCCTGAGGTAGGAATGAGCACAGTATGTGGCAGTGTCAATGAAGTCAGAGCTGGTGCAGAGCAGGGACCTTGGGGCAGGACAGGAGACAAGGCTGGAGGTGGCCCCTGGGGACGGAGCAGGGGTGGCTCGCGGCCCCTGCCCGGCTTCTTCTCCACGGGGTGCAGTTTCTGATGCTGCACAAAGCTGCCGTACCACTTGAAGGCCTTCCCGCACACCCTGCACTCGTAGGGTCTCTCCCCGGTGTGGACTCTCTGGTGCTGGATGGAGGCCACCTTCTGTGTGAAGGCCTTGCCGCACTCCTCGCACTGGAAAGGCTTCTCCCCGGTGTGAATTCGCTGATGGACGATAAACAGGGACCGACACCCAAAGGCTTTCCAGCAGTTGGTGCATTTATAGAGTTTGTCCCCGGTGTGCAGCCTCTGATGCTGAAGGAAGGCTGCGCTCCTCCGGAAAGCCTTTCCGCACTCCTTACACGTGTAGGGCTTCTCTCCCGTGTGGATCCGCTGGTGCTGCGTCAGGGCTGTGCTGGAACTCAAAGCTTTGCCGCAGACTTTGCACTCGTAAGGCCCTTTGCCAATGTGATTCTTCTCATGCACGATGCAGTCGTAGCTGGACTTGAAAGCTTTGCCACACTCCTTACACTTAAAGGGCTTTTCTCTGCTGTGACTCATCTGGTGGCGGACAAGCTTCGAGTTGTATCTGAAGATTTTCCCACATTCTTTGCACTCGTAGAACTTCATTCCGCCTCGAAGGATGAGGTTCGGATTGGGGCTGAAGATCTGCTTCACTGTCTCGCTTTTCAAATCGCAGTGTGCAGACTCGCTGCGGACAAGTCCCTCCACAGGCACCATTGGAAGCTCTGTTTCTTCAGAGATTTCCTGCTTGAATGTTGGCTCTTCGTTCTTGATCCAAGACTCACCACCTGAGCAAAAACCACATGCGTTCCCAGTTAATGGAGTGGAAGAAAATAGGATCCAGGGGTCTGGATGTTTCCCTTGAAGAAAGTGATTTATAGAAACGCATCAATGATAAACTAAACACAATGCCAGAGACAGTTCTGAATCGCGGTGACCCCCACTCCCGGTTCACAAGGCTGGAAGCCCTAACGGAAGCAGGCTGCCCCATCTTTCTCCCATGGAGCAGCAGGTGGATTCAAACTACCAACTTTTTTGTCAGTGGCCCAACATTACACCACGCACGCTTTTTCATCAACAATCAAAAAACAAGCCATTAAGTTGAGACAAACTCACAGTCAGCTCATTCATAGTGGGGTTCCTGGAGGCTGTAAATTGTACAAGAAGAGAAAGGATTAAAGCCAATGGAGAGGTGCCAGCTTTGAGTTTACCAGGGTAACTCACAATCCACAGTGCCACCAGAACTCAATGTTGTTGTTATGTACCATCGAGTCAGAACTGACCCATAGTTGGCCCTCCAGCAGATTTTCAGAGGCAGTTAATTGCATGAGAAGACAATGCCCCTTTTTCTCATGCAGAGCAGCTGGTGCATTCAAACAATGTGCCTTTGGGATTGCAGCGCAGCTCAATGACTGGCAAGCGAAAAGCACAATAATACAAGAGAGAAAAATCACTAAGGAGTTCGGTGGTGTGTTGTGGAACCTATCAGGCTGCTAACTGAAAAGTCAGTGGTTCAAATTCACCAGCCACTCATGGGAGAAAGACGGGCAGTCTCCTCCCGTGAAGATGTACAAGGAATGTTGCGAGAAGGACTGACATGGCAATGGTGGGTTTGGTTTTTACTTTAAATAAGAGATACAAAATTTGTGTGAAGGGAAAGGCAACATGCAAAAAGAGGATGATGAGTAAAATGTCACTAAGGAAAAGGAAGACAGAGAGAGGTGCACGAGAGTTACAGACAACAAAGATAAATACTACCACATGTACAATCCTGCATTACTACAATCAGTACTAACAAACATCTAATCTAAAAATAAATACACAATCCCAGAGGTAGGCGGTTTGAATCCACTAAAGGCTGGAGGGACAATCCCCTCCTGTACCAGTCAGATCTGATTTGACAGTACACACACAAAACAATAAAAAATTTAAAAAAGTAAATACACAGATAAATAAACCCACGATTAAGTAAAGGAAGGCTGAAGGACTACAGACAGCACTGTATACACGTTTGGTGGACAGTATTTCTATCTGAGCTGTAAACAGACTCATGAACACAGCAGAGCACACAGAGAGCAAGTCAAGAAAACTTACTAGCCCTAAACACTGTGTGAGCACGAGTTCCTGGATGTGGGGTGTGCTCATGACTATAGTTTTAGGAGAAATCAAGGTCAAGAGGCATAACACAGCCCACAGACAAACTGTTCCGCATCCTATCTAAGTGAAGGAGATCTCAAAAGCTTTCGAATGGCCACCGAAAGTGAAATTAGTGGTCTCTCCCTGTCCAGAGCAAGAAACAAGGGAAAGACTATCAAACACAAACGGACCAGTAATCCAAAGGTCTCCGGGACCACGCAAATCTTAGCTTCCTTTCCATTGAGACCCAAAGCCCTAAATGGTGCCTGGCTACCACCATAACTCCCCCAAAACAGATCGCAAATAGAAGGTTCTGGGAAAAGTGAGTGAAAAATGTGGAGCAAAAGACATAAATTCATGTGGTTTATAGAGGTGTATCTGTATTAAAGTTTGACTGAACTCCCACTAAACACTGGCATGGAATTAACTATTTCTAATCGTAAATGAAAAAAGAAAAAGTGATTCAGGAGCCGCTCCTCTGATGGAGAGAGGCCCTCAGGGTGTGAGGACAGCATGGATTCCCCCAGCTAAGGGCTGGCACCCCGTGAGAGCCAAGAGCCCGGAGAACAGGCCAGAGCCAAAGGCACGCTCCTGGATGTGAAACCAGGAAAACAACACAGGACACGAGGCGGTGTTCTCCCACTCACCTGGACAGGAGCCTTTCCAAGCCTCTGCTTCCCAGGGATCGGGGCCCCATGGTGCATCCCCTCGCTCCAGCAGGGAGATGAGAGCAGGTTTGACCACCGGAAACGCTACTTCAGGAAGGAAAAGAAGAGAGACAAGTTAAGGGAAGTCATCCAGATTGGCTTGAGATCACGTCCAGCCTGCCCTCCAGTGCCCAAGTTGGAGAGAGAAATGGAGTGAACATCCAGGAGACCAGGCGAGCTACCAGGAGGTTGTGAGGACGTCTCCAAACAAAGCCAGGGAGATGCTGATTCTCCCGGGGAGGAACTTTGCAATCTGGTCCTATCTTTGAACAAAGGGAATTCCCTCTGAAAGGGACGTGCTGACACTCCAAAAGCCTCTCTGCAAAGGTGAAGGCCAAGTCTCCAGGCAACAGGAAGGATGGACGAACCCCCTGTGGATTTGGACAGGTCCTTTCTCCCAGGGCCCAGAACACCATCCCTCCCTGGGGAGTAAGATGTCCAGTTTCAAAACCAAGAGAACCTGGGCTCTGTGTACCCAGCGCGCCAGGGCTGGTGATTCCAGAACTCTTTATAGCAATCAAAGCTAAGGGCCAGCGAAAAATCCCAACATCCTAACGGAAGAAGTCACACTGCTATCATAGGCCCCGGAAGAGCTCTCACCCAGGGAAGTCAGGTTTGCATAATTCTCCAGCATCACCTCCCGGTACAGGGTCCTCTGTGCAGTGTCCAAGCTGGACCACTGACGCGGGGTGAAGTACACGGCCACATCCTCAAAGGTCACCAACTCCTGAAACAACAGAATTCTGCTCAGGTTCCAGGGATGGGAGAGGGGACCAGGAGGGGCCTGAACTTCAGGGAAAAGGATGGATCTGGTGGGGACTGCGGCTCTGTGTCCCAAAGGTTTACACAGGTGAGAGGAGTCACCAGCATGAGGGGCCGGCCCTTAGTGTTTCCATTTTCAATGGGTACCCCTCTGGACCAATACTGTCACCCCAAGAGCACAGTCCAGCTTCTGCTGCTCTCAGCCTTGTGACTACAGCAACGCTGATATTCCTGGCACTAACAGGCTGTCCTTCTGTTATCTCCTACCCACATGCAGTCCCCGAATCCAGCCAGTGAATCTCTACAGACGGCTTTCACGGCTCAAAGTCTCCACTGGTTTCCAATGATGGAAAGGACCCCCTTCCCAGCCCGCTTCTCTGTGCTCTTCACTCACATCTTCCACTACATGCAGAGGACATATCCTGATACTGAGATATATTCCCCCAGCACTTTGCACCTTCTTTCCCTATCCAGGTAGTGGGCTCGCTCCTGGAGGACGGCAGCCTCCCTGTCCTAGGTTTTGCAGCCTCCCTGTCCTAGGTTTTGCTCTGACCATGTGTCTACACAGACCTGTGGCCAGGACCCCGCCCTGAGCACAGACCAGTCTCCAGTCTTCTGAGATCCACACCACCAAGGCAAGACTGCCCTCATCTCTGCCAATCCCTGGGACAAGGTCCACCTTCCCAAGAGAAAAAGGAACCAAGACTTGCTGACTGATCCCTGCGCACCAGGCTGTTAGGTGGGCACTTTTATTTATTATGGCTCTAGCAAACAGAAATCTATTATCTCAACATTTAGGAGTCTGGAAGTCTAAACAGAACCCTAGAGGAAAACCTTATCTCTCTGCGGGTCTGGAGGAAAGTCTTTGTCTCTGAAGGTCTGGCCTTCCTTTAAGATCACCACTGGGCTTGGTGACAAAATTTTCTTGGATCTCCATGGTTCTAGGTGGGCATTTTTAAGTCCTGTATTTCATTTAATCTTTACAATATATATGCGACGTCAGAATTATCACCCCTATTTTTCAAATGATGATACCGTGGTTCCAAGAGATTCATTATTTTGCCCAAGACCAGGAAGTGGGAGGGCTGCTATCAACCAGATCTGTCAAACATCACACTTGGGCTTTTCCACTCACTAAGCCTCCAACTTATAAATCGTGAGGAAGGGCCAGTCCTGGAGAAAAGGCATCTTACTGGGGAAGATGGAGAGGTCAGAGGAGGAGAGGAAGACCCTCAAGGATGGACAGACACAGTGATGGTCACAATGTGACTTAAGAGTTATCCAAGTTTGTGAGGATGCCGCAGGAAAGAGCAACGTTCAGATCGGCTTCCCAGGAGCTCTGTGAGCCGCAGGCAACGTGTGTCACCTCACAGAAACAAGCCTCCAGCACTGGGCTCGAGATTTCTCCAAGAACATGGCTAACCTGCCAACGTCATCCTAACAGGGCAACCTGCTCTTTGGAGGAGGGAGACCTGATGGATTTGCTAAAAGAAGAAACAAGTTCTGACTTGGAAGAAGGGCAAGCTGGGAGCTCCTCAGAGGCAGCGACAGTGAAAGTTCTCAACAAGATGAACTGACAGTGACTGTACAGGACTCGAATGTATCTGGGAGCGTGAGGACAGTGCAGGACAGGGTCACTGGGAGCCCTAGATGGCTCGACGGCACCTGACAGCAACAATCTCTGATAGCTAAGGAGTCCTGGTGGTGATACAGTGGTTAAGTCCTCAGCTGGTAAGGGAGGCATCAGCGTTATGAGCCCCTTATAAACACCTAAAGCCTTACAAACTCAGTGGGGCAGTTCTGCTCTGTCCTTCAGCCTCCTTGCCAGTGGAATCACCTCCAAAGCGGTGGGTTTGGATCTGAAGGCTAATGTGAATCAAAACAGACAGCAAGGAGGTTCATCTCACCTGAGGGAGCATGGCTGGTGTCCCCTAGCTTCATGTACTGTCTTCTGGGATAGGAAAATGAAGAACCTTGGAAGCCAAGAGAAGAGTCAAGAACGGGATGGACTCTGTCCAGCATCACCCAGAGCCATTTCTGGTTGCGGCCCCCCCCCCCTCGTTACCACCCTCTCCATGTTCTTGGTCCCAGCACTATCCCCAGTGTCTTCTCTGTGCCCCGCTTGTTATATTTTCTTGCGAGTGTCCCCATCTCATCCTCAGCTGCTCTGTCTGATCCTGCTGGACAATCGTCCACTGCCCAGGTTAGACTGGATGAAGGGCTTTCCTGAATGCCATTCATTTGCATAACGCAGACCAAAGGATCAGGTTAGTTCTGTACCAACAGAAAATTTCATTGCCGGCAGGAATTATGGCAATGACACCCCCCCCCCCAAATGGTGCCTCTGAATGAAAGAGGGACAGGAGAGAGGAAAGCACCCAGTGTCCCGCAGGTGATCTGAATAGCTGTCCCAAGAAGCAGGGGCCCCCAAACTTGAGAAACGTCAGTACCGGCCACGGGAGAGAGTCAGGTCACGCTCTAGAAGAAAGAAATAAGGTTCACGTCTCCGTGGGAAGGAGCTGGGCCCGGGGAAACCGCGCGGCCACCTTGGGGGGTTTCTGCGAGGCCCCGGGGCCGGGGATACGGGGCTTGAAAGGGCGGACCGCCATTGGGACAGAGGTCACGGGAAGGAAATCTGACCAGCAAGCAGGGAAAGCAAGGAGGCCGGCATCGGGCGGGCCTGGCATGGAGAACCCGCTGCAGCCCAGGACCTTCCACTTGGAACCCCAAGAAGCGGGCGATTAAAAGCCCAGCCGCAAGCGAGAGCATTGCCAACGCCGCTCTAGGTTTCCGGAAGGCCGCTCGTCTCGGTGATCCCGGCTCCCCGGCTCCCACGTGATTCGCCAGCCCGGCGGAAAAGGCGGGGTGACTGAGGCGGGTTCCGGCCAGAGCGTCCGTGACGGGCGCGGAGTCACAGCGCCACCTATCGCCGGGTCCTCCGGGGACCAGCCTCCGCGCTGGTCGACCCATCGCGGTGCCGCCAGGGCTGGTCCAGATCTCACCCAATGTACAAACCTAACCCTGGTTAATTAACTGGCCGCCGCCATCGCTCTGATGTCCAAGGCCTGGACTCCCCAGGTGTTAAGAGAATGTGGTGTCGAGTACGACTCATAGCGACCCTATGAATAACAGAACTGGGTGCAATCTTGTCATGTACCATCCACATCTGACATATTCTAGGCCATTGCTGCATTTACTATGTCAATTCATTTCATTGAGGGCCTATTTTTTGCTGACCCTCAACCTTTCTAAGTATGTCCTTTACAAGGAATAGTCCCTCTTAACATGTCCAAAGTGAGTCTTAGCTTTACCATCCTTGCTTCCAAGGAGCACTCTGTCCAAAACTTATTTCTCTTGGCAGTGTACGAGATATTTAGTGCTCTTCTCCAAGACCCCAGCTGAAAAGCACCGATTCTCTGTCATCTTTATTGAATGTCCAGTTCTCAGATGCATAGCATGTGATTGAAAAGTCCACAACCTGAATCGGGCGCACCGTTGTCCTCAAACTGACATCATTGCTCCTCAGTTATTTGGAGACACCCTTGTCTGATGTTTCCCAGGGCCATGTTCCTGACTGCTGGTACCAAGTGTGCTGGTTGTCAATCCAAGAAACAATGAAGCCATTCAGAGTTTCAATCTTTTCTCCATCTATCAAGTTGTTGTCTATTGGTGAGAATTCTTGGTGTTTAGATCTTGATCTTTTGCAGCAAGCACTTCAAGAGGTCCTGAAGTGCTTGCTCCACCCAACAGTAGAAGAATCAAGGATTCTCCTTGGGTACAAGGCAGGGCTATTTTTACAGCCCTGTCCTTCCTGGAGGAGGACATCATGCTTGGGAGGGTGGAGGGACAGCGCAGGAGGGGAAGGCCCTCTATGAGGTGGATTGATTGACTGGGAGGGTGGAGGGACAGCGCAGGAGGGGAAGGCTCTCTATGAGGTGGATTGATTGACTGGGAGGGTGGAGGGACAGCGCAGGAGGGGAAGGCCCTCTATGAGGTGGATTGATTGACTGGGATAATCGGGATGGGAGTGTCAGAGACAGTGCAATTGGCACAGGACAGAGCAGAGTTTAGGGCTGCAAGCGACTCAACGGCACATAAGAAGGCAGGGCAGTTTTTTCTCACTTCCTAGAACCAAGCCATGTGAGAGGGTATTAGAGGCAAACTAACCAAAGTAATAGGGAGCCAGAAAGCTTTGGTGGCCTAGTAGCAAGAAGCTGGACTGCAACCCTGAAAGTGTGCGATTCTAATCCACTAGATGCTCCACAGGAGGAGGGCGGACCCCTCCTGTGCCAGTCGGATCTAATTCAGTGGTACACCAAATTTAAAAAAGTATTAATTTTTAAAAATAATAGGGAGCCAAGTGCCAAATATACACAGGTCACTTTCTAGTGTTCAATTTCATCTGGGTTCTTTTCGTCACAATCCTGTCCATGCCCTTTATCAGCTTTCTTCATTAGAAAAAGAAGTTTTCCCATGACAAAGTGGTGTTCAAGTAAACATTAAATACTAGCGAGGGATGGGGGGGGTGGGATCCTACCTCTGCATATAAAGAACTGGACACATCCTTTCAGTTTCTCCTGCAGGTTTAACTAAGTGCTTCTTTTTCATATTCAAGAAATGGAGAGAGCACTGGAGGCATAGTGGGGGCAAGTTGCACAGCCAGCAGATTCCCAAGTTCTGTGCCAGTAAATACTCTTGTCACTGTTGTGTAGAGTCTGACTCAGAGCTGACCCTCCAACACCTTTTCAGAAGCTGTAAATCCCGGATTGCCCATCTTTCTCCCAAGGAACAGCAGCTGGATTTGAACCACAAACTGCTGGATTGGCAGGGCAACTCTTTAGCACTCAGCACCCTGTGAGTTGCAGTCAGAGTTCATGCAAATTCTGGTTCAAATCATCAGTCTTCAAAAGCCTTGCTCAGTCCTGATAGCTGACCAGTGAGTGGCTGCCTGGCCCAGGCTAAGTACAGCCGCATACCTAGTGCCTTTAAGTCAGCTGGTGTATTCAGCAAAGCCCACCAACCCTTAAAACACTTCTGCTGCTTGTGTTCTCCAGGCCTCCCAAAACCTGGCAGGGAGATTTTACTAGGATCCCTTGTTAGGGGTGGGTCCAGGCTGACTGACTTCAGAGGCTGGTGCTGAAATGGACTTACATGATACAGTGGCCCATCACATCAGGCAGATTCATCTTTTCTCTGATTAGATGTCAGGACATTTTTGTGAAAGTAAGTCCCACCATTCTTGCCCAAGACCAGGAACTATTTGTGTGTGAGGTTCAAGTATATGTTCTCAGGCAGGCTAAGAGGATTTAAACCTGGCTCCAACTTTGCAATCAATCTTCCTACCCTTCACTATCTTTTCTCTTTAAAGAACAGGACAAGTAGATAGTCTTCCATAACAGAGGTAGACTATTATGTATCTAGATTTTTCAACAGCTCCAAATCAGAATGTGTTGGTAGATTTCCCTCTAGCTTAACCATCTGTTATTATCAGGGCACAAAGTAGTAATTTTATTCCTTACTCTTTCCAGGGTCATACACCTAGGGTGAGACAAAGAACCAATTTTCCAAGGATGGAACTAACCCTCCCTCCCTCCATCTGTCTCTTAACCCCAGCCCCAGAGAATGCCCATAGGTACAAACACTATCTACATGTCTGTCACAAAGAAACTTTATTGCTTTTATAACAGCCTCTTAGGCTTTCTTGCCCGATGCCTTTGGAGCAGTTTTCTGGGCTGGGGCTTTCGGACCCTTCTGAGCTTTTGGAGGTCCAGCCTTCTGGCCGGCAGCCTTCTCCTTCTGGGCCGGGGCTTTCTCTTTCTGGCCGGCAGCCTTCTCCTTCTGGGCGGGGGCCTTCTCCTTCTTGCCTGCAGCAGTCACCTTCTTGGGCGACACCTTCCCAGCCCTGGCAGCAGCTGCAGCAGCACCCTTCACAGCAGCTGCTTTTTTAGGAGAAGCTTTCAGGAGAGCTGCCCTCTGAAGCTTCTTAACTTCATGCTTTATTAATCTGTTCCTCTGAAAAAGGCAGATAATATTAGCTTTATGTATAGAAAATCCTATCAATTATAAAATATGATACTAACATTCTAATAACATTCTTGTTGCAAGTGTAAGCTACAATGAACTAAAGATGTAAGCCCCAGAATCTTCAAGACTTTCAGTTGGGCCTCTATTTCTGGGAAGATTCTAATTTAATAAAAATTCCTGTGTAGGAAAGTATCACCACAATTCCCAGGATGATATAATGAATGAAAAGATAAAATTCCTTAAAGTAAAAGAACTCAAGTCAGAAGTTTTTAATGGGCTACTACTCCCTTCCTCTCCTGATCTAAGATTAGACAAATATGCATGACACAATAGAAAAGTTTCTATTTTTACAAAGGATTCATCAAAACTTACCATTTTCTTTGCTTTCATGACTTTAAAGCGATCAAAATCTGTCATCTTGGCTTTCTGTAAAAAGGGGTGGTGGTGTAAATGCATTATCCTCTGGCACTACCATTCCCAACCTTTTAATAAAAATGATCTCAAATCATCACCTTTTCTCTGGCTTCAATCTTCTTGGCCCATCTTGTGGCTGCCCATTTTGTATTGATATCGGCTTTCTGCCAGGCTTGTCGAACGTATTTCTGGCGGGCACTGAAAAGTGAGAGCAACAAAAATCAGCTTAAGAGCTGCAGTCTTAATAAAAACTGCAGTAGTCCATTTTATGGACAGAAACCTTTAACAAATTCAGCATGCTCCCAGCTTAATTTCCTGAAACACCTGAAACAATGCCCAGGATAAGTTATTAATTTTTTGCTGCCATAAATTCAGGAATTTTTTCCATAGTCAACCACAAACTCATTCCACAGCAATGCTGTAATTATTATTTGAAATTCTGACCCATGGCGAGTGATTAGCTGGACAAATGAAGGCCTAGAGATAATTTTCAATAACCCATGACCAGAAATGTACGATTTACTATGTGAGAACAAAACGTAAAAGGCCAAGAGATGCCTCTTTTTTGTGTATTAGACTGTGGTCACTTGTGCCAAGGGATAACATGCAGTCCAGCGAGGTGTGAGAAAATGGGCTTCTTTGCTACTGTTAGGAGGTACTGTTGGCATTTCAAAAGCATCCAGGAAATTATGCAGGACCAAAGAGTGTAATATAACTAATGGCACATTTAGGGTTTTTTTTTCCTTCACCAAAGGCTGTTTAAGTCTATATAACGGCTTGTCTCACTGAGAAGAGAAAACCGGAATAGGTTAGACTTCTCTGCTATAGCAAACGCAAACTGTGACAGTTTTGTTCACCTGCCACAGAGTGTTGCTTTTATTACTGGCAAGTTTATGATGCAGGTCTTATACTATTGAAGCAGTGATCTCAACAGCCTTTATTTTCATCCAACAATTTAAAAAAAAAGGGGGGGGGTAATCCCCTAAGTAATCCAATGCTTTAAATCATAGACTGCATGTTCAGATAATAAACTTACATTTGTTAAATATAGTCACTACAGCACAACACAATCCAGTAAGAGAACCAAACTACCTCCATAGGAATGTAACGTAGCAATGTTTGCACGTGTCAGGATTTCTATTGTTTAATTTTTGGAAGAACAACAGCCACATTATTTATGTCAGCAATAGAAGATAGCTGACTCTTCCATCTTATTGCCCGTATGTTTTCTTTATAAATCCTAGCAGGGATGTAAGGATCTCTGTGGTTTTGTTGAGGATCGCCACTTTTTAGCCATTTAGCAGTGTTTTCACATCTGTAATTTTTACCTCTGTCATAAACCAGAACCTCTCACCGCCTCAAATACACCAGGGGAGACCGTCAGCTCTAGAGTTGCACCAAAATCAATGAAACACACGTTATCTAAAAGAACACAGTAGGCTCTGGGATGCAAACAACTAGAGTCACTGACACTACACATGAGAATAAAGCAGACTTGCTAATGTTGCACTGTATCTTATTTTTTTTTCCAGTGAAAGATACTAAACACAAACATTGTATCTAACACCTAAGAACAAAGTTTTTCTTTTAAAGTAAAAAACTAAGACAGGTTCAAAAGAGCTCAATTTCTCAAGACCTAAAAGTGCTCTTGTTGTTGTGTGTCTGAGTCAAAATTGACCCATAGTTAAGCCTCAAGTGGGTTTTGGGAGGCAGTTAATTTCAAGTGGGGAAATTGTCCATCCTCCTGTGCAGAGAAGCTGGCTGATTAAAACTGGTTGCCCTCGGGATTGCAGCAGATTCTTACATTTCAAATTTTGTTTATTATTAACTACACAGAATGTATAAGCCTAAAGCTCAGTGTTATGGAACATTCTTTCATTAAGGCTGAATAGGTTTTGCACATTTTATCTTCCAATGTGTATTGAAGTCCTTTAATTGAACTTTCTATATTCTGAAGTCATTTTACATGCTGCAGTTAAAAGTGATTAAATTACTAGAAATGGTCATTTAAAAAAAAAAGTGAATAATACTTGTCCTTTGTCCTATTTCCAGGAACCTGAGTCATTCGCAACCTTCAGTACTGTTTTGAGTTTTTACCTGTGTGGGAACTTGAGGACAAAGTCGGTGAGCTGCATGCATTTGAAAGGCATGGCTTGCCTCCTTACTTGAGTGCATGGTCCATCAACCAGAGCCTAGAACACAGAAGATCAAGGATCGCTACAGAACAGTAATAATAAAAAAGCAACAGATCCTCTGTATTACTACTTTTTTGTACCACCAAATTCTTACTGCTTAATTGACCGCTCAGAAAGAGAAGACTCATTTCTTGGTAGTCTTTTCAACTTGAATTACACAGCCCCATCTTTTTTGCTCACCACAATTACCCTACATATCAGCACACTATAAAGGCAGTGAACGTCGATAAATTAAGTGGTAATGCCAAACCTTTAATTCTCAACCTTTTCCCTCCTCACTGCTCAGAACAGATTCCTATCTGACCCTCCAGTGAGTCTTTGAGTTTTCATAGGTTTTAAATCGCAGGGGAGGAGATCGCCTGTGTTTCTCCATTGAAGTCGGTAGTGGATTCAAACCGCCTATCTCTGGATTGACAGTGCAACTCCATACCTACTAAGACACTAGGCTCCTTAAGTTGGTGCCGTCAAGTAAGTGCGGGACTCCACAGGTCTCAAATGGTAATTACCAAATATAATGCTTTTAGATGCTTGGAATGATACTAAAAACTAAACGTCGCACATAACTCACTTATACGTCCATCAGTGGATTAAGCTACTTTTAAATGGCAGAAGTTTTATTTAAACCAAGCAGTCCTGGCTGACTCCGGCAGGACCCGGTTCCCTCCCCATCAGCATTTCCACATAAGATATCGGGCACATTTTTCCTTCCACTCACCCTGTTCTGATCAATAACGTCTACGATCGCGACCAGTTTCCCGGCATGGGGTCCGAAAGAGATGTAGGCCACCCGGCCAACCTCCACGTAGCGCCTGAACACCTACAACGAAGGTGGGCAACGAGGTTTATTGCAAGGCACGCAAGCTTACAACGCTCCGCAGGTCAGAGACCCCGAGGCTGAGTGTGGGTCCCGAAAGGCGGGTGGAAACATGCCCGGCACCGGGAAACAACGTGGACAGACGGAGCCGGGCGGGAGCAGCGGCCGAGAAAGCCCGGCTCCAGCCGGCTGCACGTCCCCGCGGGTCCCCAACTCCGCACGTCCCCGGCCGCCCCCGCTGGTCCCCAG